TAAAACTGCTATTGTTGTTGTTTGTTATCTGTCAACAAATTATAATTAAATAATAATTTAAATAATAATAAATTTATGTAGACAAGAAGGCAATGACATTGTTATAAGAAAAAATAAAAAATAAAAATAAAATAAATAAAATAAAATAAAATAAAATAATATAAAATAAAATAAAATAAAATAAAATAAAATAAAATAAAATAAAATAAAATAAAATAAAATAACATATAGAAAGCAAAATAAAATAACTTAAATGTTATTGTATAATGTAAAATAGATTAGAGAAATAATTTAGTTAAATCAATTCAAGTGAGCTGAAAAAAATGAAAATAAAATGAAATAAAATACAGGAATGATTTCATATTAGAATTATGAACACAGCATTTTCGGAATTCTCATGCAAAACCAATGAGCAAAGGTTGCTTCCATTACGTGCTAGCTGACAAACTGCCTCCAAGCTTATCAACATAATCTGTCGAAACCAATACAAATGTACCAGTAAAATAGTGAAATTTGAGCCCCTCGCATGCGCCATAAAAAAATTAAAAAAAAAAAATTTAGAAATATAGAAATAAATATCTGCTACCTAAATACATAACAAAACCGCGCGCATATATTCACACATGCTAATATATTTTAAATAAAAATTGAAAAAAAAAACATCTGAATGTAGCTTAATTTCAAGCCAACGAATTAGCCAGCTCAGCGCGTCAGTAGCATCGGCAAAAGCCGCTAGTCAGCATGCATAACATAGACAGATCTACAAAGCTTCAAAGTCAGCCTCAAGATACCGTTTGACGTCACTGCCTTACGCGGCACACCACCCGCCGCCATAGTTGCCGTTCCACTTGTTCATTGGATGAGTTGAATTCATATTCTAGATTAGCGAGCGTTTACTTACTTGTTAGCGGGTAGTTGTTGTTTTTGAGAAGTTTATTGTTACTTTTTTTTACATTTTATATCACTATCAGCTTGTATGATTATATATATATGTATAAATAATTAAATAGAGGTAAATATATAAGCATATAAATATTTAAATAGCAAAATGGCCAGCCATATGTTATGATTTGTATAATTTGTTATGATATATGGCGATAAATCATAAGCTAAAAGCTTTATGTGTAGTTTGAAAAGCGAATAAAAGAAAAAAATTGCGTTGAGATTGCGTTTATTTTGAAAGCTCATGAGAAAAAAAATTATTTTGAGGTTATGGTCCCTTTCCGATTCTATGGTATACTTTCACGGTAATAACAATTAAAATGTGGGCTTTCAGGAGACTATACTGAGCGTGTTTCCCCTTTGCACTCTTTTGGTAAAAGCGCTGTCCAGCTCAAGAGAAGAATCAGAAAATATGATTTTGAGGTTATGATTTCTTTCCCGATCACTCTAACATGGAAAACCGGCAGGTCAACTTGCGAAGGGCGCTATGGAACACACTTGTTAACGTTAAGACTATACAATTCTTCAATAATGAGAGCGTATGGGAGTAAAGAGAGCAGTGCGAACAGCAACATCTAGAACAACAAAAATAAAATGTTTTTTTCTTTGCAATTGGTAATGATGACTTGGATTTTTTTTTTTTCAAATTAATGACGAATAAAGCGACGCAAACAAGTAATCAAAACGCCATTGAAAACAATGAAAGTACAAAGTTCAGTTGATTTAAGATGACAAGAATGTGAGGAAAGTTTTCTTTTCTTATAACAAAGAATCTAAACTCAAAATGTTCAGTTTCCTTGTCACCTCGCTCTGGGCTAATCAGCTCATATTGATGTTTGAACATTTCCGAAATAAATTTGCATGCTTTAGACTTTTGCCGGATGGTTGCAGCTACTCCACGCACCGAGAGTAACATCTCTCTAAGCTGTGAGAATCACTTCAGAAATGCATAGCTCACCCGATCTTACGCAGATCCACGCTCTAGACTTTCAGCTTACACGATTCCGGAGTAATTTTGATACATGAAGCGCTTAAGGGCTCTCTTCAAGTTTTCCCTTAAGATTCAGGGACATAAGTTGATCGGTATATTTGGTGGTTGTTGCCTCACGGTTATCGTTAATAGATTTTAATACCACGGAGTTGGCTAAAAAGCATATCATTACTGTGTTCAGATGATGAGGAGATCGTCCCAACTTAAAATCGGCTTGGGCTTGGCTCTTTAAGGATCTGTGATGAATGGAATTACTCAAACTCAACGCGCAAAATTCGATAGAGTACTATCTTTCAGTCTACAACGTGAATGACTAGATGATGATTTCTTTCTAGCGATATTTGTTATCATCGTAAGTTAACTCTGTACCGTAAAGTTCCCTTTGGCAATTGTAATTACAATACTTCGTTTTTTGCAGGAGTTCGGTTCTGTATTGTCCTTAGGTTTATTCTGATTAACTCGCCTCGTTCGTTGGTTGGGAGTTCTGAGAGTAACACTCAAGCGCACGATCTCAAGATCACATCATCATCATCACATCACCTCTAATGACTTCCCATCATAAGTTCACTTTGGTTTCGTAAAAATAAACAAGGTTCAGTAGTGTTCTGAAGTACCTTATGACTTCCCAGCGAGCTTTGTGAATATCACAAGTTTATTTCGGTTTGCCTGGCTACCTCGTTCTTTGAGTTTTATTCTGATTACCCCTTCTAGGTCACCGTCAATCGTAAAACTACCAGTTAAGTACATAAGCCAGCTTCAAGATCACTTTTTTACTTTTGATCACTTCATAACGATCCTTACGATCAACACAAGTTCACTTTGGCTTCTCTTTGTGCCACTTGCTGACAGGAACATCTCAGAGAGACAAAACCAGAGCAACGTAAGCATTACCTTTTCAATGAATTGTGCTTTTAACATTTAACCGCTAGATGACGCTACAGTCGTTAGAACGCCTTATAATGACTCTTTCGAAAACTTGGAAGATTGCAAGTGAATTAATCGTAGAAATATTTCAATTTAGTTTTCAAATATTCATCAGTTCTTCTTTGGCTTATCTCGATCGAAAACGGTTTGCTTGTAATCCACTGCGCTGTTGTTGTTTTGCAACTCAGTTGCAAAATAATAATTATATAATCATCTAAATGGGTACACTATTTGCTGTTGCTATATTTGTGTAAATAATAATTAATTTGATATTTTATTGCGGCGCTGTATGTAGGTAAACAACTGCAGTAATGAAGTGGAAAAATGCAAAAAAAAAAAAAAATGTTGAATGAAAACATAAAACAGCACAAAGTGTAATTTGAACTGATTTCGTGGTTTGGGGTTTTCAGTGATTTCGCTCCAGCGGCTTGGGCGAGATAAAATATGGGGCCACAAATGTTTTTCGCTTGTTAATTGAAAGTAAAGTACTTTTACGGTATTGTTAAGTTTTTGTGATGGACTTTATGAGAGCTTTCATTTGGAAGTGCGAAGCTTTTGCTTAAATAATGAAAGCTTTTACTAAAAAAATTAAAGGCTTCTATTGTTCAAAAAAGTTGCAGATTTAACTATATGAGTTGTCACTTCTAAGAGAAAAGCTTACGCTCTGGGGCTCAGAGCTTTCGCTTCGAATTCAAATGTTCTGGTGCGAAATAAATTTATATTTCAAATAGTTAGAACTTCCGCTTCACAGCTTAGTGTCTTATTTTGAATAATGAAAAATTTCCAACCAATTAATGAAAGCTTTCGTTGAGTTAACAAAAGCTTTTATGCGAAGAAGGGTTATAATTCTCATAATAAGAACGTATGCTTTAAATTTATTGAGACCCTTAGCTTAAATAAAGAAAGTTTCAATAGAAAATTTAGCAGAAATATAAAATAAATATAAATGAGAGCTTTCGATCAAATGATAGGAATTTTTGCTTTAAAGTTTGGCTTGAATATTTATAGCTTTCACTTAAACGAAGAAATTCGCCGCTCAAACGATGAAGAAAAATCGTATGATAGAAGCCGTTAAATCGAGATCGCTGAAAATCTGAAAGCTTTTACTTAAAAAATATAAAAGCTTTTTCTAAAAAAAATTTATTGTAATTTTAAAAAATCACTTCTTCCAGCAATGCATTAGCATCTCTACTACCCGGAGTATTAAAATCCGCAATTGTTATTATGCTAAACAATTATTACAACGCTAATTAGTAGCTTGAGCATTGAGCTTTCGCCGCTTATTTTGCCAATAACTAAAAATAGCTTCGAACAAAATTGTTTCAAACAAGTGTTAAATTTAATTTAATGAAAAAAATCACACAACAACGCAAAAGAAAAGGGTAAACAAAACTAGCCGATTGCAAATAAACAACCTTTGATAGCGTAAAGTGAATGAAAAGTTAATGCTAAGCTCTTAGAAATGCTTAATAAACAAATTTAAATTCAATACAAAACGTAGAGCAGAATGCGCAGTACCCTTGGAAGCGCGCCCTCCACAATTTAATCCATAATGTTGTGAGAATTATATGAAAAATTCGAAGCGAAATATAGTACACAATTAAACAGTGCCAGACGTCAGGCGCAACGCAATTGAAGGGCTGGCACAAATAGCGTAAGTGTAGCGCTGCGACGCACTGCTAGCGCGCTCATGACGCGCCACAATTTATGGATGCGCGCCCTCATTTTGCTCAACAAAAAATTATAATAATAAATAAAAATAATATACAGAAAATAGCTGCTGAATACTTGCTCCAGTAATGCACTTGCATTGCTCCATTTTGCAACGCATGAATTATCGTCGCGCTATATATGTTTGTGGATCATTATCGCGCTAATGCTTATAGGCAGCGCACGTAATCACCGCTCACACAGCGCTGCTGGCGCTCACGTCTCCAGCTTTAAATTTTGCTTTATTTTTTACTAAGCGATCTTGTCTTTCCTGTCGCCGACAGCAAAAGCGCCGCATTTTTCTCTCTACTATCAACGCTTTCGAATTTCATGCGCGCTCTGACGCGCTGCTGCAAGTAACTTCTTCATCGCCAGCGACGACAACGTAACTCCGCAGCGTGTCAGCGCTCAGTGTCACCAACTCGCTATACGCGCCGCCACCAACGCCATTCCGCTTTTGATTCATTCAGTTCTCAGTTTTGTCGCCGCTATAGCTTGGCGTTGTCGTCAGTTGAATTTCTACCAGCAAAGCGTACGCGTGGCTAAACGGCAATAACGCGCTCGACTTCGCCCGGCTCGACGACTAAACAACGTTAAGTTAATTCGTTACACACTTTCGTTACTTTCGTCTGGCATTTTGCAAATTCGATAACGAACCGATAAAAAAAAAAAAACATTCATCTCTTGACAATTCGGCAATTGTCCGTCCCTCCAGCCGTGCGCGTTCAGAGCCAATGCGGGCGTTGAAGAGTTGACCGAATTTCATGTGATTTAAAACAAAATTCATTGCTCTTTACGATTATTTGAAAGCCTACAGTGACCCTGCGTCGCACAAAAGTGTCTTCCGAAAGCGAAAAAGTGTTTACGAAAAAGGAATATTTAATTTCTCAAGCGCGCAGCAAAGTGAAATGTGTAAAAGAGTAGGCGAGTAGTTGTATTCAAACAAACATACTTTCGAAATATGTATGTATGTGTGTTGAAAACATCACGAGCTCGTCTGTATTGAACTGAAAAAAAAAAAACGTAAAAAAATTGTAAGAAAAAAGAAGGTGAAATTTTTTTGCTTTGCAACTCTGTGTTGTTGTTGTGCCTGTGTTTGGTTTTTGAATTGCTGACGGTTGCATAAACCACAACGAGTGATATACATATATAAAAATTTGTTAATTTTAATTTAATTTAGCACTACTTTCGTTGAAAATCTCTTTACTCAGCCGATTTTGATCTGAGCGTGGCGACGTAAAGTTTTTTTTCAATAAAAATTTTAGCAGTAGTTTCACATCGAGTGAGCTCTTGGAGCGTTTGTCAAAAGATTGAACCTCCGAAGGGAGCAGTTTTTTGCTCATTTTCGTCAGTGTTCTCGGCCCGAGATAGTCACTGAAAGGTTTGTCAAGAGTACCAGGTTCTTTGGCAACTGCCGTCTTCGATTCGTTAATGTTCTCCCACCGACTGACGTTTTACTGATTATATTATGACTTCGAGAGTCCTCAGATGGGTGGTTCTACTCAGTATCGTCAGAGTTCTGATACCGTGTTAACTCTTACGGAGTTTTCAAAGACTTCGGACTCCTTGGACGACGGGTTTCAACCACTATCGTCAGTGTTTTCACATCTAGTGATGTCTTACACGGTTTATAAAGGCTTGGACGTTCTCAGTCGGGTTTTTGCTGTTAAGTTACGTCAGACTTCTGACATCGAGTGTGCTCTTAAAAAGTTTATTACGACTTCGTGACTCCCCACAAATAGACTTTTTGCTATATTCCGTCAGTATTCTGGGAACCAGCGAGTTCTTACTGAACTTATCACCTCTTTGAGAATCCTCAGACGGCTATTTTTTTCAGTTAAGTCAGAGTTCTAGCACCGAGTGAGCTGCTACAGAGTTTATCACGACTTCGAAACTCCTCGGATGGATTTTATTTTTTTCAGTTACGTTTGAGCTCTTCATGAGTTTATTACCACTTCGAAATGTCAGGCGGTAATTTTTGCTCAGTTTCATCAATGTTTGGACACTAAGAAAGCTCTCAAAGGATTTGTCAAGAGCTGGAACGTCCTTAGACGGGATTTGTGCTGAATTACGTGGGTGTTCTGGCACCGAGTGAGTTCTTAAAGTGTTTAAAAAAAAAAGAGATCGCAAATGCGCTCAAGGGAATTTATGTTCAGTTTCGTTTGTGTTCTAGCACTGAGTGAGTTCCTAAAGTGTTTAGCAAGAGTTCCAATTCCCTTAGACGGGGATTTTGATCAGTTTCATCAAAGTTCTGATACCGAGCGATCTCTTGAAGTGTTTATCAAGAGACTACAATCTTTTAAAGGCGGAGTTATTGCTCAGGTTCGCAACTGCTCTGCCACCATGCAAGGTACCAAAAGGTTTATCAAGACAACGCCGTCTCCTCAGTGTGGGGTTTTTGCTTTGCTTCGTAATTTGTTGCTTTGTATTCGTTATTATTATTGTTATTTAATATCTTTACATTCCTCATACGGCATCACTTTCAATTCTTTTCTGATTTTATTATTCTTTTATAATATTTTTAATTTTATATATTTTTTTAAATTAAATTTTTTTTTTACATATTTTTCATAGTTTTTTTTTATAATTTTCTGCTTATTTTACTATTTTCTTTAATTTTTTTTATTTTATTTGATTTAATTTTTTGTAATTATATTTTGCAACTTAAATAATTTAAATTTTAATACTATTTTTTTATTATATTAAACTATCCAAAATCACTTCCTCCCTCCCTCTCTTCACCAAAATCAAAGTGGCAACACCACACCAGTTCGTCCATTGACTAAACACCATATCTGCAGGTTTGTTTGATATGATAGACATATTGATAGCTTTCGAAATGTTGTTTTACATGATTTTTACACAAAAACTCATTGCGTTAACAACACCTACATACATACATACATACATACATATATAATGAAACACGCTCATGAGTAATTAAATGCCCACACAGACAGCGAGCTTTGAGTGCTTGCTTTTGCCTGCTTTAATTACTTCCAGCCTGTAAGTGCCGTCACTTGCAAGTGACAGTAAGTTTCTTTTCAAGACTAAAAGTAAAAAAAAAGAAGGAAAATCAATTTACATCTCACTTTTGAATTGAATTGAATTGAACTGAACTGTAGCGACCAGCCGCCTTACAGTTATAGCACAACAAAAAATAAATGTTTTAATTAATTAATGTACCTACGAGCATTAAACAATAAAAGCAAGAAGCTATAGCCAAGTGGATAGACGATTCGTTTGCAGCTTGCCTTAATAAGTGTCAATTAAAATACAACAAAAAAAAGCGAGAATTCATTGACATGAAAAAGTCATATGAAGAAAAGTTGCCGAAAGTATACGTATGTAGAGAGAGGCAGGAAAAAAATGAAGCAATCAATTTTAATTACTTAGTACAATTGCACACATGAGAAGAGATAAATTGAGTACCCTCTAGGAATCTTTACAGGTTGGTGGCAGCAATGGAGTAGTTAGGGAGAAGCTAGAGAACAGTGCGCTCTCATTTTACCTATTTTTGAAATTATTTAAACCACTTTCTAAGCTTTAAGGAGGCTTAAAAGCTTACCAAAAGCAAGTGAACGAAATATTGAAACCCAAAAGAATTTTGAAAATTGATAAGTCTCACATTTTTTTGACCTCAAAGTCTAAATACTTTAGTGTAGCCTTTACTAGTGAAACTGCGCTCTCTTCCTAGACTAGCTATTTGTCATATTTCTTTGTAATTTAACTTCACTTATTCTTCAAGCAAAACTAGACTCATTCAGATGGAGCTTTGAAGCCATAAGACTACCTAGTGCCATATACTCCTGCAATTGGTCGTTTCTGAAGCTCCCAGCTTCTTCCTCCTTGTCACTCACATTTGCATTGTTATGTTAGTTTAGTGTAGTTAAAGCCTTTAAGTCTCTAACTAGGCTTCCAGAATTCTCTCTCTAAGATACAGCAGCCTTCAGGCTAGTGAGACACCAATTCCGTAACATAAAGAGTTGTATATTAAACTCGCTGCATTATCTAGGTTTCCAGCCATACACACATACTATGAGGAGAAAAAGCTAAGTAGTGGGCCAAGTTAGGAGGATATCATGATTTTCAGTTAATATAAAGATCTCACGACACAACTCTACTAGCAATTTAAGCGACTAGCGCAGAACCGATGGACATTCCCATCTAAGTAACTGCTATAACTGAAGGAAGGTTTGATTCAAATAGGAGAGGAGAAGAACATAGGACTTATGAAATGTAGCCATTTTGGAGAACTCCGCCTAAAAATGGGTCTGCACTAGGCGTAAGATAATAGTAACCCATTTTTCCCCCACATATTCGATATAGGATCCTTGAAACCATTAGGGAGCAAACGCTGATAGTGGGTCTACCAATATTATATCGGATATAAGTAGACTTATCATGTGTCCACCTGATATTTCCACCAGAGTGGAAGTCTGCCTATTCCATTGTCCTCGTCAGTGAATAATGGATTGAACACCTTCAAAGCTGGAGTATTTCCGTTCATCCGGATGTCGTGGCGCAGCCAGTGTGGAGTTAATAAATGGTTCTGCTAGGCCTAAGTTTTATAAACAGATTTTTGTAATTACCTTCTAAGCTGCAAGCAAATGTCGACATTAAATTTGAAGTGTGTAGCTGAAGAAAGCTTGCAGTATTCAGAATTTGTTTGAAAATTCAAGTGAAATCATCTTTCTTCTTCTTGATTTGAGATACATACGTGCGCGTAAAATTTACGTTTTGCGGGCGCAAGACCCAATTATTGGCCGCAATAGCAATTGATTGCAAAATCGACAGCTACAGAAAGAGAGAGAGAGGCAGAGAGAATCTTGCGTCACACAACAAAACATACAGAAATGCGTTGAATAATGAAATTAAGCAAGAAATTAAATCACTTTCATTAATTGTAATTCGCGCACTAAAACCCACGTGGAAGGAAAATTACAACAGAAAAATGGGTTCTTATATAAAATTATCGATAATCGATATACAAACAATATAATGGCGCAACTAGACTATGGGAATTTCTCCATGTATTTAATTGTGTTTATTAACTCGCTTAATTTTGAACTTAAAAATGAAATAAATTGGTTTGATGCATTGAACTTCGAATCCATATAAATTTCTCTGGAGGCCATCTCATTACAACGTCTTCATTATTGAAGCGAACAAACGAGTTCGAGAAAATCCACTTGTAAACATCTTTAAGTGCGATGTTTGTGTGTTTAGCTACTTTTGTTGCTTACTTTTATTTGTACTGCGTAGTGACGCACGCATCTGTTTCGCATCGTTTCGCACCTTGCGCAGCATCGGCTTCCTTCGTTCCGGTGCTTCGGCGGCTCGACCAGTTCAGTCGATTCTAGTTCGCTATTTACTTAGTCGAAGTTGAAGTGTGTGTTTTGTGTGTGTATGTGTGCTTATAGCTGCTGTGCTACGCTTTACAAGAGAAGAATAAAATATTTTTATGTATAATACATATGTATTATATGTATATGTATATTTAGTCAATATATTGCAACAATAATAAATTGAAAAAATACACAAATATTATAGATAATTATCCAGTAATTGGAAGTCAAGGCGCAATTTCGATGATTTTTTGGAATGAAAATATTTATTGCAATAAAAAAATGATAAAACGTAAAATTATAAAAAACTTTGAGACTAAAAATAATAGTAATAAGAATTAAGTTAAAAAATTGTAAATACTTAAAAAAGGATTATTTCAAATATAATAAATATATTTATTAAAGCTGAAAATAAAAATAAGAAAAAATACTAAAAAGATTAATTAAATATAATAATAAACAAAATAATAAAAGAGTAATAAAAATATGTATTAAAAAAAGATTAAATAAAAAGTAAAAATGATGAATAAATTAAAAGCATAAAATAGCGATGTAATAAAAAATTATGCAAAAAATAAATATTTTTGAATATTAAAAATATATAATAATAAGAAAAACTAATAAAAATTTAAAATAAAATGAAAAATCTTACTTAATTATAAAAAATATGTTCTAAAATAAAACCTCAAGCAAAAAAAAAA